TGAAATTATATCCACATTTTTAAACTAGCTTTTTTAGGCATATTACTAAATAGTGGCACTGAGAAGTCAGTATGAAAATATAGTGATCCTAAAGTCACTGATACAAAAGTCAGATAAATGTGTGTGTTCTGATAACAGGGTCTTTGTTTTTGTTATGAACCTTCTGTCTGTGTATACGGGTCTAGCTGGGGCACAGTATTTCAACCCATTACAAAAAGCTCAGAAGCATCTGTAAATTAATGATCACAATAGTGAATCTATAATGTGCAGCCTAAATAGATTTTCTCTATTATCATTTTTCACCTTAAGACTTCATACAGTAAAATAATCAAAAAAAGCAGATTAAAATCTGTTATTTATTACATGACCATATAGACTATATGACACAAATTGCCCTCATCTGTAGCCATTATGCAGTTTTTATATCTTACACACACACACACACACACACACACACAAAGAGTAATATAAGGGCTTTATAGTAGATATTAAATGACAATAATGCACAACAATGTTAAGGGGGAAACCTGATTATGATATGAAGATTCACCTTTTTGTGCACTGTGACAATTCTGTAATTTTCTGCATGTCGTGAATACTATTGCATTTATTGTGTGTATTTTAATGCATTTTTTTCCTAACATGCCATTATCATATTTCCTGTCAAACAACAGTTTCACTTAAAACCTAACCATTGAACTTTATTCTCAATTACACTATTAGAAACATCACGCACAGACACACAAACTTTAGTAGTTTCAATACATTTACGACATTACACAGCTAAAAATATTATTTAGAAGAACCTGCAGCAGAAGGAAATTGTGCTGCTGTGTGTAAAGCAGGAGGAGTATTTGAGGAAGCATGTATCACTGTGCGTGGGATGGGCACAGTGAAACATTTCACTTCATAAACCCCCATAAAACACAGACATTTTTGTTGTTGTTGTTGCTGTTGATTTAATCAACTGAATTCTGGCCACTGGTTCCACATAATTTGTTTGCATGCAGTTTCCTTTCTCATTCATATAGTTTAAATATAAATATTTTGTGTAAATCAGATGCGATTTTAATAAGTAAAGAGTAAATGTTTAAGTTATCCCAACATAATTCAGCCATGTTAACGTTTATGTTTGATACATTTTTAGATTGTGTTATTTTTCTACACATCCTAAAGCTTCCAGTGGGGTTAAGATCAGGACTCTGTGGTGACCAATTCATGTATGAAAATGATTTCTCATGCACGGTGAATCACTCTTTCACAGTTTGATCCTGATGAATCTTATCATTGTCATCCTGGAGTATGTGTACATCTTTCATCATGGTTGTCTGAGAAACAAAAAGCTACATACTGTATCAGTTAGGGTTAAGAGAACTGTTGCCAAACATACAACATGCCAGAAACATATTCATTACTGCAAAAATAATTCAATCCTAAAATAAATAAAATAAATACTCCTTAAGTATTTGTTTATTTAAATTCAAACGGCGGCTTTTCTTTGGCTATGCAGTGTATTTTGTTTTATTTTCAAAAGAGCAGGTTTTTTCCCCCCAGTCAGTTAAATGTAGTGTGCTAACAACACTGACTTAAAGCAGTCCTCAAACATTTATAGTGCAATATTAATTATAGTATTTATTTATTTATTTTATTCATTCATTTGTTCATTCATTTATTTAGTTTTAAGTTTGAAATTATACCTACATTTTTTAACCTGCTTTTTCATTGAGAAGTCAGATAAATGTGTGTGCTCTGATAACAGGGTCTTTGTTTTTGTTATGGACTGTCTGTCTGTGTATACGGGGGCTGGGGCACAGTATTTCAACCCATTACAAAAAGCTCAGAAGCATCTGTAAATCAATGATCGGTGAATCCATCATGTGCAATCAAATAGATTTTTCTCTATCATCATTTTCACCTTAAGACTTCATACAGTAAAATAATCAATAAGAGACTATTAAAATCTGTATTTATTACATGACCATATAGACTACACTACAGCATGTCCAGCCTGGTCTCATGTTTATACGTAGGTATTGTAACAATATAGCATTAAAATATATTTATAGTCGCTAATTCCACTCATACCTATAAGCCTAAACATTTCTGTGCAGTATAAAAAACATGACAGACAGATAAATGCAATTAACGTTACAATCATTTATTTATTGCAAAAATGTCAAAAGCAGCACCAAAAGTAATCCAAATGACGATGCGTTGCACCCGCAGTCCTCTCTGGCGGAATACAGTAGGTTTGTGTGATCCAGAGCAGAATTTATGTTGTTAATCGCTGAAAATATTATCCAGATAATTTTCCCGATCCACTCCGTGGACTCTTGAAGGCGCCGCGCATCATTCAAACACACCTCACCAGAAACACGGCATGTCGCAATCTGTGACGAAGGCAGGCGATAGCCAATGAGCGTTCGATTATCCTGCCGTAAAACCTGTCGTTTGAAGCGGCAACATTTGAATTTGTAAAGAGCGCGTCAGTCAGCGCGGGCTTTTCTGCTCAAGGTCACTGGACTCGCTGCTCGGGATGGAGAAGAAGATCGCCGAAAAAAGGCTTGGATTTGGGTCTGTTCCTCGCAGTCCTATGGATTCGGAAGATTTGGATTACAGCGCACTAATAAAATTGTTTCATTTCGTAATTATGTTGCGTTTTTCGTGTATTTTATAGTTCTATTGTTAGTCACAGCATGTTGGGAAAAAAACGCCTTTTGTGGCCTATGGCAATCAAAGTAAACATTAAATGACAAGTAAAGGTTAAACGATTGCAGAAATGTTATTTATTTTAAGGTTTAAAGTGAAGTCGTGTTTAAAATTATGTAGGCATATTCTTGGAAACGAGCTGGCAGCAGAAATCACACAACAAAACGAAATGCTATAATTTCATAAGTAAACAATTTAATAATTGCAATTGAAAACAAGTTAATTCATATGACAGAAATATTAAATGACAATAATGCACAACAATGTTAAGGGGGGAAACCTGACTATGATATGAAGATCACTTTTTTGTACACTGTGACAATTCTGTGTAATTTGCTGCATGATGTGAATATTATTGCATTTAGTGTGTGTATTATAATGCATCTTTCCCTAATAATGCCATCATTATTTTATTTCCTGTCATTTGGCGTCTTTCGGATGAGACGTTAAAACAACAGTTTCACTTAAACCTTAACCATATTGAACTTCATTCACAATTACACTATTAGAAACATCACACGCAGACACAAAAAATTTAGTTGCAGTAAATGAGATTGTTCTATTAAAAAACTCATATCATGTTGCTTTATCTTTATTCTGTGGCATATGAACTCAAGTGAAACTGAAATGGCTGTTTATGTAATACAATTTTTAACAGATCGGATAGATGCTTCCAACCAAAAGCGCAGGTGTTTCCTGCTGATACTGTCAGAATCAAACCTCTGAGCTCTTGATTGAACTGTTAAAATAACCCTGTGCTTTTCTTCTGTAGATGCGCTCTGATATTTGGTGTTTAGCAATAGCCTTGTTATTTGATATATTTTGCATCAAACGTTTAATATTTACTTAGTATAAAACATACTCTGCAAGCAAATTTGGATTTGAACTTGTATTTTAATCGTGCAACATAAGCACTCAAAAGAAAATTATAATTTGTTTCATAAAATTATGACTTTATTCAGTTGTGGACGTTGTTCATGTGTTCATGTTAATGTAAAATTACCAGTAGACTTAACTTAAATATGCGAGAGAGAGAGAGAGAGAGAGTCCCATGTCAAATGAACTCAAACTAATCTTTTCAGAATTAGATGGCAAAAGCACACATGCATGAACATAGCATATATATGAGCAATATCATACGAGTCGCCGTCAGGGGCATGTTTAGAGTTTTGAGGGCACTAAGCAAGAAGCTCTACTTAGTGGAAATCCCATCAGTGGATGTCCCGTTCCCCCGTGGGACCTCCGTGGTTTGCATGTTGCCTAAACATGCTATGTTTTTTCTGGCTCTAATTGGTGATTAATTATGCTTTCAGGTGAAATGATAGATTCCTTTAAGGACATGCAAGATCTCTCAGAAAAACGGCTCTATTCTTTTTTTCATTATTGTAAATATGTGATTGTGATGTTTGTTTGTTTTTAAATTTTACTTTAATAAAAGAAAGAAACCATTTGATTGCTCTTGATTTTTTTTTTCTCTCAAGTTTACAAAATTTTATCTCAAGGAGAAACTCTGATTTGCACGATAAACTTGAATGCTGCTCTAAGCATGTTTATATCAAAAGTAACATTTATTAACACAGAGAGGTATTTAAAAGCCTTTTTGAAATATTTCCATATTTTCTGAATGTAATAACTTACACAGAATTTTCTTAAATCCAATAATTAATTTTCAACAAATCTGTAGGACTTTGTTCTTTGTGAGACGGAAGCACAGCAATGTCTAGTTGTGAATACTGGTGAGTGTAAATATTTCATGCTGCAAAGTTTATTAAAACATAAATTGCATAACAAGCTAGTCGTTTTATGTAAATGGCAAGGGTGTCTTTCCTGTGCAGATGTGCTCAACCATGTCTCAGAAATGCAGATGGTTATCAGTTCTGCTTTCGGTGGCTATTTCAGCTTGACTGTTACTTAACGTTTCCATCTGCTATTTGCTATGTTCACTGAAGCATGATTCTGATTTCCTCTTCTGTCCGTCTTTGTTTTCAGTATCTGCAACATTTAAAAAATTCCCATGGTGTAAATAACCACCACACTGAAACATCAACAGCATTCATTTACATGTCCATTTGAATGTATTCAATAAGCATTTTCATAAACTTTGTACCTTTGTTTATACTACATTGCCTATTCTGTGAGAGGTCAAGTTGCAATTTGAACAGAATTCCAGATGCTTTTTCAGAAATACTGTAAGATCTAGTTTTGACATGACACAGTATTTTGGTGTAGTTCTGCTGCAAAGGTGTTTTATTTGTTCTCGATAACCTTTTCAAACCTTCTACTAACAGTTTATGCTTGACAGTATAAACATCATCACATGTGATTGTAAAGCTAACTTTATTTATTTCACCTGTACAGAAAAGTCTTTCTTCAAACCTTCAGTCCAAGTAAAGAAATCCCATCTCAGAGACATTATACAGGGGAGTCAGGGCACAATTTCCTGTGTTGTTAAAGCACCAGACAACACTGAAGTGTCATGGTTGATAAACGGTATACGTAGAAAAGGCACCACAGAACATAAAGAGCCGTCCATTAATAACATTGTGAGCAACTTGACTTTGTCCAGACAAGAGTTGACTCATAGCACCATTGTTTGTACCGCTAAACATCCATGTTTCAAATTAGAGAAGGTGGAAATTAAAGCTGGTAAGTGGTTTCTTTTGCACTGATTAGTATTTGTCAAAGTTCCTGATGATGATTTAGGTTCTAAAACCTACATATCATGTGATAAAGTATATTTGTGTCCCTCAGATGATATAAAGAAAGAACCTGTGGTGGTGATCAGGAGGCCTTTCGTGGAATCAATGCAGGCAGCCAGTGCTGTGCTGGAGTGTGTTGTAAATGGTCTTCCCTCTGGTGAGGTCTGCATCATCTTCCAGTCCGAAGATACTCCAGTCTCAGGTTTAAATTGTGTGGATTGGGCCCCTTCTGAAAACCTTTGGTCCTTGACCACACATTTTACAATACCTAGTGAGCACCAGAAGAATGGAAAAACCTTTACCTGTACAGTTCATAGGCTCTCCAAATTCTGGAAATCCAAACCTACTGGAAACATTTTTGGTGAGAAATGAACATTTCATCAATACAACATTAACTATACTGGGGACAGTAATTGATGTAATGCATTGAATTTTATTAAGGATGTATTATTTTTTCTTCACTGAACACTTGAAACTTGATTTTTTTTTCCCCCTCAGGCAATCCTACCATAGAGCTTGCTGTTGTTCCCAGTGTGAGTCGATCTAGTTTAGACCCACAGAAGCTGCTGTGTTCTGTGACAGGATTTGACCCGAAAATCAAGTGGCTTTCAGTATCTGGGGAGAAAACTGGGAGAGCTTCAGACGCTACAATGATGGAAGATGGACGTGTGAAAGTGTTCAGTGAGATACTGGTGCCACAGCAAGAGTGGAATCAAGAGATCACGTGTGAAACTAAAACTAAAACTGCAACTGCTGAGAAAAGCATCAGTATTTGCACAGGTAAACATGCCAAATGTGACAGGAACCCCCTCTCTATAATCAACATTGCAATGAGATGCAGATATCTGATAATATTATAGTTTATGCAAGAATGTTTGGTTTCTTCCTTACCTTTGAGTCAGCGAATGTAATCTCTCAACACATGTGTTCACTGTCCAACAGTGATTGTACCATCCAGTCAGCGGGCAGAGTTCTACCTGGTGGGTCCATCCCTCAGTAGTGTGAGATCTGACACCTCTGTCTATTTGACATGTTTGGTTGTTGGTCAGAGTCTCAAGTTGTTCTCCATTCAATGGAAAGTGAATGGTATCGTTCCCAATCCAAATGGCCATGAACAAGAGCCTAGAGTTCATGCCAATGGGACTCAAAGCAAAGAAAGTATTTTGAAGGTTTTAGTTACAGATTGGAATGCATATGCTCTCTTTACCTGTGAGGTTAAGCATCTGTGCTCAGATTATACACAGGAGAAGAGAATCTCAAAAACCCGAGGTGAGCACTCACAGTTCTCAGCACTGCCATTGCAGAGACTATTTTCTGATTACTAATTGTTGCCCTATGCCTGCAGACCCCAAACAACCCACTGTTAGAATCCTCAGACCCTCAGACAGTGATCTCTCTGGACTCCAAAATGCCAGCCTTCTTTGCTTGATCACTGGTTTCTTCCCATCTGATATCTCTGTGCAGTGGCAACTAAATGAGACACAGCTAGATGCGTCTCAGTTCACTAACAGTCCTGTGGCTGCTCACACGTCAGGAGGTTTTTCAATGCATAGTGCCCTAATGCTGCCTGCATCAGAGTGGAAGGACGGCACGTTCTCGTGTGTTGTTTCTCATGAGTCATCCCAAAGTCCAATCACCGCCACTATAGAGAACTTGTATGGTGGGTGCCATCTGGAAGAAATTGACCTGATATTTTAAATAGGATTGATTTGATTTAATTGCTGACATTGTTTTCATGTTGGTTTCATATGGTTTTGAAAAACTTTGATATCCTTGTAAAGAAAGGTTTCAATTGAAGTTATATCAATAAAATTATTATAAAAGTATAATTTAAAAAAATATAAAATATATATAATTATAGAACTTTTAACACTTTTTTTTTTTTTTACATTTTTTTTTTTAGCCTCGTTGATTCGCTCTCCTCCATCTGTAGAGCTGCTGCAGGGTACTAGTGTGCCTGAGCTAGTGTGCCTGGTATTTGGTTTCAGCCCACCTGCCATCAACATCACCTGGTGGCTAGGTAAGACTGAGGTGTCTGCCCACAGGATCACTCACCCTGCAAAAGGCCCTGATGGAAAATTTAGCATCCGAAGTCACCTGGATCTCCAACCTTCAGACTGGGTACCTGGTGAGGTGTACACATGTGAGGTCACTCATGTTACTGGAATCCTGTCGCCTAACATCTCAACGAAAACAGGTACCCTAGATTTCAAGTACTAAAACAATTTTATCAAGGAAATAATGAAGTTTAAATGTTAATTTATTCTTATGCTTTTTTACAGCATTATTTGAAGAGGCTATATTTATGAATGAGAACAAACCTGAAGCTATTGCACAGGATACAGTTGAAGAGGCCTGGAACATGGCCTGTGCCTTCCTCGTCCTCTTCCTCGTCTCTCTTTTCTATGGGTGCACAGTGACTTTGGTCAAAGTCAAGCCTACATGAACAATATTTTGTGTGTGTGCTTATGTTTTCTAGATTCCTTTGCTTCTTTGTTGTTGTTGTTTTGTTTATGTCTTTCAATTGACATAACTTTGCAAACATTATATGGTAAATATCAGCTTTTGGCCTTGTGGCCATTTAAATATGAATAAATAAATGGTTTTAACACATTTTTTGTTATTATGTTAGCAGTGCATGTAAACATCACCGATTTGTCATTTTTTTTCAAATTATTCCTGAAAGTTATCTCAAATTATGTATTGTTTTTGTTTTTGAATAAAATAGCCAACTCCATTGTCTTGTTATGGCTAATTTCACAGCCAGAATTTTAGTCAAGCTTTATTGTTGAAATAATATTTTTTAAACTATTTGAGTAATTTGACAAAATTTCTGACAGCTTAAAAATAAATTATACACAACAAAAATGTAGGAAATTCTTAAAACATAAAAAAATGGTTTCTTTTAATTTCACTTACTGTTTAAAACATGTCTGTTCATGTTCATGTCATGATTTTCATAGTTTAAGATTAAAAGTCTGGGATGAGGGCTAAGTTTCCAGGCCAGTGTTATTGTTTCAAACAAAGAAACAAATGAATTATAAAAATCAATCCATGGGACATGGGAATAAGAAAACAAGTAGATAGAATAGAAAAAGAATAGAGAAAGCTAGTGTTAGAGGCCTTTTTAAATAAAAAGAAAACAAACAGATAAAATAGAATTAGAATAGAGAGTCGAGTAAGAGGGTCAAAAAAGATGGAAGAGATGTGTTTTTAGCACATCTATCTATCTATCTATCTATCTATGATCTCTCATAGATTTAGATCAAATATAGATAGATATTTATGTAAATCTAAATAATCTCAAAGAGGAAAAATAAACACCCCTCTTTATCTATATCTGAATACAGATATAGGTGTGTTTATTTTTCCTCTTTGAGATTATTTAGATTTACATAAATAATGAATACAAACAACAAGAAACCGCTATGGGTTGACCACACAGGGTTAAATAAAACATTGTTTTTGTTAGGTAAAAGTAAATCAGATGAATGTACGGAATGTAAAATCACAGAAAATGCAGAACATATATTGTTACATTGTAGGAAGTATAGGGAAGAGAGGATTAGATTAAACCAAAAGATAAGTCAGATAGGAAGAAAATGGAACCTTGAGGGTGTTTTGGGAACAACATGAGAAGGGGTTAAAGATGCACAGGATGCTGTTGTGGAATATCTGAAGGATACAGGGGTATATTATAGGATTTAGATAGTAGTGCTATAATATTTATGTATTAATTTATTATTATTATTACTATTATTATTATATATTTTTTTATATATATAATGTAAAGTGCATTCATTGAGATATAATCATAGGATATAATCCATGCTGCATACTCCAATACAGTAGGTGGCGGTATGCACCTGATAAGTCATGGTTGCAATCCGCCATCAAACTTATAAGAAGAAGAAGTAAAAAAACGCTATTCGTTCAAGGACTGTTTAGGACCCGAGAAGAGCAATCAACATCAAGAAAAGTATTATGAGAGAAATTCTTAGTTATCTGAAGATAACAGGATTATAAAGTAGAATTAAAATTTCATATTAATACTACCGGGGTTTTTTTTTCTTTTCTTTTTTCTCCCTCTTTCCCGTTAATGCTTCACACTCCAGTCCAGTTGGTGGCGGTAATACACCATAAGTTGGCTTGTCAACCGCCATAAAATCGTACAAGAAGAAGACCCGAGAAGCCCTCTACTGCACACCGACTGCACTCACTGCAGTGTTCGCTTCGGTGCAGCAGGTGGCAGTAAGTCTTCAAGAGGCTGATGACCAGCGTAGAGAAGAAGACTTTTAGCTGTGGACGTTGTGGGCTGCTTTTGTCTTATCCTTACATTTGTTACTGTATCTTTATTTATCTATTTTTGGAGGTGAATTCACTCTTTCGTTTTCTAGAATACCCAAATAGGAAACGGATAGGCAGCCGGACGAGGTGATACAAGTTTAAGCGTTATAAAGTGAAGCAGAGCATCGGATGATCTCTAGTTAAGTTAACGTTAGCCGGTTGAAGGTACGTTCAGTTGATTTCACACATACATCAACATCCTCATAAAACAAATAGATATTTTACGGCTAGCTTAACGCGTTTTGCTTACATTCAAGCCAGGAATAATATCATTGTTGTTGCATTAATCCAGCATAACAAGAAAACTGAGAACATGTCCATTTTACGGTAGACATGGTGAATGCGATAACTCTTTAAAAGCTTGAAACCCGCCGCAGCTGATATTATCAAAACAATACTCTGCTCTGAACATTTTAATGATGACAAACAGAATAAAAAACTCCTCCCATAGTATGTAAACAAGTCCCACAATAAATTAATAAATAAATAAATACATACATGCATTTAAAAAGTCCAAAAAGCTTCACATTTCATCCCAAAATCAAAAGGGAAAAAGTATAAATTATATTTACCATAAAGTAAAAATATGGATCATAATTTAAAAAAAATACTAATTCAATTTTTTATTGCATATATATATATATTTTATTTTATTATTTTTTTTATTTTTATTGGGACTTATTAAAAGTTTGAATCATTTAGAGAGCCGGGCTTTCATTAATGGGTTTATTTTCCCATAATGCCTTGGGAGTATTTACCAAAATAAAATAAATATATGAACTTGAAATATTGAGTGGAACCTAAATTATTATTTAGAAAGGAGAAAGAAATCAATAACAAGTTACAGACGAACATTTAGAATGCACAACAATATTACACTATATCATTGATAAATGGTTGTTAATCTGAAATCCACTTTACTTTTTCTATAAATTAGTTAAGTAACATATTCAACTACTGTATACTGTAGCTGAACTACTCACTTTTTCTCAACACTATGGTTGACAGAATAAATGAATCAAGGCTGACTGCCAATTTTTTTTTACAGTGTGGTATGTGATGCTGCAACCACAACTTTTAGATGTCGGCACAACAAGAGTCGTGAAAGTGTTCTGTTGTATGTATGCAGTGTATGTTCATATACACTTATATGTTCTCACAGGTTATTAACGGGACTTCTTGCTCTGCAGTGATGACGTCCCTGGTAAGTGCCTCAGCATAGTTGTGGTTGGTCGGATTGTTCAACACCAGCCAGATTCGGCAGAATGCAAATTGTGCGTCATTTTAGAAATTATGTCTACATTTTTATCTATTACAATCATCATACTGTACAGATCGGCAATAAAACATTTTGTCAGTGTTGTCTGTCTCTCAGGCCTAAGAGATTGTTCTTGTTTGCAGGGGAGCAGCAGTTCCTCCGCAACGGAGTATGTTGTACGAGTTCCAAAGTAAGATTTGTATTTTATTTATTTTATTATTATATACTTCTATTAGAAATTCAATTACTGACTCTATAGTGCTGTCAAAGAAAGCGGTTGATATCTGAATTCTGGTATTTTGCCCAACAGAAACACCAGTAAGAAATACAACATAATGGCTTTCAATGCTGGTGATAAAGTCAGTTGTTCCACGTGGACTCAGGTAACAGTCATTATATATGGTCACTGCTTACACTTACCATGCAATATTTCCTTCACTGTATTTTTCAATCTCTCTCTCTGTGTATATATGCAATGTTTAGGCTCGTATGGAGCGTGACATGAGTAATAGGCGCATATATGGCGAAGAGGAGACTCAGGAGGGGGCAGCCGGCAGTGAGTTTGGAAAGAAACAGAGAGAGGAAGCACGGAGGAAGAAGTATGGTATCGTTACGAAGGAGTTCAAGGTGGAGGACCAGCCCTGGATCCTTAAAGTTAATGGCAAGGCAGGAAGAAGGTACACGTTTCTGCTTTTATACTTTTTGTCTTATTGACACTTGTTTTGTGCTACATTTGAGTAAGTTTAGCTACCCATACTTACAGTAAATCTTAATAAGCCAATAATTGTTGTTCTGTGTGAATGAATGGCGAAGATTTTTCTACTACACATACTCAAGCAAGCATGACACTAACAGTGTTTTCAGCATCTGCTCTCTAACTATCCAGCTATAAAAGGACACGTTTAATTTATAATTTGTCTTAAATCTAATTTTGGTAAAATCAAAATCGTGAATCGAATCGTGAGTTGAGTGAATCGTTACATTCCTACATAGGATGCCTCGGGGGTGAGTAAAACACAGCCTAATTTCTTTTTTGGGTGAACTAACCCTTTAATTGTATGTAATTATGCATAATGTATTGTTATTATTATTGTAAGTACATGTAACGTGTAACAAGGACACCTTAAAATAAAGAGTTACCCCACCTTATTTTGCAATGTGGAAGTAAGCCGTTTTTTTTTTATAATGTGTTAGACTTATGATTTATTAGCTGCTATAAGGAAAATAACTATAAGGTCAAATTATTTGCACTACGAACCAGTGTGTTTATGATTGTGATAATACATTAAATGAATATGATAACAAATACCAGTTTGCAATATCAAGCAGCAACACAGACTGTTTTTATACTGTTAAAATAACTGAAAGTGAATTACACAAGTTAAAAGTGGCTGTGTCCACCCTTATGTCAAAAATAATGTGGATATGAACACACAAACTTCATCTCTAGAGCTGCTCTGAGAGTCACTTCAAAAGCATTTCACAACTGCATTTGATAAAAACTATCGACAGATACACACAGAAGCTCAAAGTTTGGTTTGACTTGAATATATGACAGAAACCCTGTCCTACTGTACAATAGATTGTACTTCTCAAAGTAATAAAACAATAGTAATACAGTTAACTGAAATGGTATTTTTAAGGAAAATCACACAATTTTTCATCCATATTTGAATTTAAACAGTAAATCTCTGTTGTGCAGCACTTTTTTTTTTTTTTTTGCCAAACATCAAAGGAATTGTTTAAATTTCATTTGATTACGTTTTAAATGATTAATGAAAACGTTTTATGCATTCATTGATTACTGCCTTTTTTGATAATATATTTGTATTAAATTATAAAACACAGAATCCAGAAAAAAAATCAGGGCACTATTACTGTTACAGTCTTAATAAATTAAAATGTTGACGTTTTATGAATTCAATTGATTAGACAGCCATTTTGATGATTCAAATTTCATTAACAGTTTAAATGGACATA